ATGTGATGTATCGGTGAATAATGTGTGCAGATCCCAGTAAGGTGACCTTTTTGCAGCTGGCAGATAGTAACTTCATCAGCGCCGATTGTATTTAAGTGCAGGCCAAGGTCTTTAGGCACTGCACCCAGTGTACCGATCACCACTGGGACCACCTTTACTGGTTTGTGCCAGAGTCTTTGCAGTTCGATTTTTAAATCCTCATATTGTGTCAGCTTTTCCAGTTGTTTCTCTGCAATCTTATTATTATTATTATTATTATTATTATTATTATTATTATTATTATTATTATTTGAAACACAACAAGATGAGTCCACAGCAGACACTCTGCTGGCTGTTGTATTGGATCACACGTCAGACACTTCCCAAGTGTCTAAGACTGTGTGATGTATCGGCGAATAATGCGTGTAGATCCCAGTAAGGTGGCCTTCTGCAGCTGGCAGATGGTAATTTTGTCAGCATTGATTGTGTTTAAGTGCAGGCCAAGGTTTTTAGGCACTGCACGCAGTGTGTCGATCACCACTGGGACCACCTTTACTGGCTTGTGCCAGAGATGATGATGATGATTACTTTTTAATTGTATTACTTTTTAAAATGTGAACTACTTTTAGTCCTAGTAATAATAGTTATACTTTCATAAGATAGTTTCTTCTCTCATGTTGTTTGGATAGTTGTGAATTAACGTGCATCCAGTAAGTCCTGAAGGGAAGGGAAGCAGGAATGCTAAGTGTTGCCTAAAATAGATTGTTTGCTTGGCTTTTTTAGTTTACTCCTGAGTAATAAACTCTGACAGCCTGTGAAAACTAGCATGCCTTGGGAATGATCATCTTGGTCAAGTATACATCAAGTGTAGGAAGCAAGTGTGGTATTGCATGTCTGACCTGGTTCTGTTTGTCAAATCTTGGAGAACTAGGGTTGAATTTGGCTACAGTTTGAACTGGACTTTTTTGTAACCTAGCTTTGTCACCTGATTAATAAAATCCCAGATATATATGATGTAGAAGCACTAATTAACAGTGCTGGATTAACTTTGATGCCAAGTAGGTTAGAGCAGTGCTCTTATAGCAGTGGTTCCCCAATCTTTTTTTGTCCAGGGACCACTCTCCAATATTAGTACCAAAAGGGTTACAAATCAGTTTTTGGTCAACTTTTGATTTGGTTGTTTATTTTGGGTGCTGATTCAGAAAATTGTGTTGGATAGACTCCATCAGCTCTAGTTTTGGATACAGAACATATGCCATTCAGTAGTTGCCATCTGCTTGCCCACAGAAAACCATATTCAATAAGCCTCGGCACTATAAGAGGGTTTTATGAGACCAGTCACTCTCATTGCAACATTATAGTAATGGTGAGTCTGCAAACCATATTTTAGTTCTTTCAGACCACTGGTGGTCGACAGACCACAGGCTGGGAACCATTGTCTTGTAGTGATGGTCTGTGGACCAAATGGCAGTACACAAGCAAGTCACTACAGATAGCTGCCTATCCGTAGTGACTTTCCAGGAAAAAAATAAACACTTGTGGCCAATGGACACAAACATGGTACCAATCCATGGCAGTTTAGTGGGGAAAAAATCTGGTCTCCCAGAAAAATGTACTTTGATATCTAATGCAATAGATTTTTGGCTGAGGGCCTTCCTTCTGATTCCAGATCTGTGTTTGACCTGGAATTAAAAAGTAAAGCACTTGTGTCTCCCATGAGATATTCATACCTGTTGTGTAAACAGATAAGGGATTCATGCCAGATGTGTCAGCGGTTATGAAGACTGTTGGCTGCATGAATAAACTGAAAAATAATCTGAAAAATCCTCCATGCACAAGCATACTGTGATTAAAATATTTTTGGATGCAGTGTATTTACTGACATAAAGACCATACCTGGGGATTTGGAGAACATAATTAAATGTCATGGAAACCACAAGTCGCACCACCAGTTCTCTGATTTGCAAGTTGTATGGAAAATGTTGTCAGAAAGATACCAGGCAGCAGGATCCTTTTGCATTTCTCCAACTACAATTTATGTTACTAATACATCTAATACTGTCATGAGTTTGAAACCAGCCCAGGTTGGAGTAAGCTCTCGACCATTAATAGTCTAGCTTGCTGTTGACCTATGCAACCTGAAAGACAGTTGCATCTATCAAGTAGGAAATTTAAGTACCGCTTTATATGGGGAGGCTAATTTAACTAATTTACGACACCATAAAACCTTCCAGCAGTGTGCAGAAGAATGAGGAAGTATTCCATCAAAGGACCCGTATAAAAAGTGGGCGGCAGCTCCCCCTGTGGCCTGAACCGAGCATACCCTCATGAAGCCGGAAAAAGCTGGAATGTTCAATTGCCACTGTGTCTGTCGATATATGCTGTATGTCTAAATGGCATTGAATGTTTACCATGCATATGTGCCTTATAATCCACCCTGAGTCTCCTGTGGGGTGAAAAGGGCGGAATATAAATACTGTAAAAAATTTAAAAAATAATCAAATAAATATTAGGAACATGCCAAACTTTTAGTTTTCTATGCCCTGGACACTATGGATATTATTCCTTTCTGGTGAAGCAAGAGAACAACCATCATATTCTGAGAATCTTGTGAAGTTCCATATAAAGGTCCCACTCCTGAAATATAGACCATTGTAGGAGTGGGACCTTGAAGCCTGTGGGTATTTTGTGCGGCTAGCACTTCTGGCCCACAGCCTTTTCACACCTCCTTCCAGTATTCTCCTACCAGGCAATTCCCCCACTACTTATGAATTTAAGCTGGAAAAAAGCTTTCGATTGCTTTAATAAGAATCTTGTTTCAAGTCTAAATGCCACAGAGGAGTGATTTCAGGGGAGACACAGTCAGAGAAAGAAAGAAAAAAATATCTCCTTTTCCACCACCTTAATCATGCACTGTGATGTATATGAAGATTTCCCTCCATCTTTATGCAGTTATACTTTCCATTGAGCCATTACATCGTAGTAGCCAATACATAGTATACTGGGAAAATATGGGAAGTTGAGCCAATATCTGTGTATGTATGTGTATACACACATGCACACACATTAATTACATGGTAAACTAGCATGGTATAGTGATGTTAACATTGAACTACAACTCTGGAGAACAGGACTAGAATCCATGCTTGGCCATTAAAACTCACTGTGTAACCTTAGGTAAGTCTTAATCTTAGTCCTAGAAATACCTGTGATAGGGCTGACATACATGAGAAACAACTTGAAGACACACAATAGGAACAACAAAAATATCTAACGAGCAACAGAATGCTTGAACAAGGAAAAATCATAAGGCAGCCATGCCATATTTACTTTGTTTCCACCCACTGCTGGTATGGAGCCTTCTTGAAAATTGTCAATGGGGAATGCAGCCCTTGAGTTTAAAAACTGCTGCCTAGCACTGCTCAACAACAGTGAAACTTAGTTGCTCTGGGTTAAACCGCTGAGCTGCTGAGCTTGCTGACCAAAGGGTTGGTGGTTTGAATCTGGGGAGCAGGGTGAGCTCCTGCTGTTAGGCCCAGCTTCTGCCAACCTGGCAGTTCAAAAACATGAAAATGTGAGTAGATCAATAAGTACTGCTTCAGCGGGAAGATAACAGTGCTCTGTGCAGTCATGCTGACTACATGACCTTGGCTCTTTGGCTTAGAAATGGATATGAGCACCACCTTCCAGAGTGAGACATGACTAGACTTAATGTCAGGGGAAAACATTTACCTTTACCTAAATATTTAGCAGTTTAAAAAATCTCTTTATGAGCACACACTATTTAATATATAAGCTTTTTTCCAGATTCAGGGTTTTACTGTTTACTATAAAACTGACCGATACATAGCTGAGTTCCTTTTAAAGTCATAAGTTAACAGCTGATGGACTTTGGACATCCCTTCTGCTAAGTAAATGCAAAACCTCCCTGTCATATCTCTAATGGTCTTTTCCTTAAATATCACACTATTACCTGTCTGTCACGTGTATGTTCTAAAATGCAGTTTTTATATGGTCTCCCCTTTTTTCCTCACAGGTAGGTAAATCTGGGAGTGGTGGTCCAAGGTCTTCCAGATAATTTTGTGACTCTTGGTATTTGAACTGAGAATTTTTTTCTCTGAGTTCAGTTCTCTAGTCAAGGTTGGGGAATCTGAGGCCCTCAAGAACATGTTAAAAGCAATGCAAAAGTCAAAATAAATGTATAAGCATGGGATTTTTATATATCTACTGGGGCCCTCTTTCTTGTTTCCCAAGATGAGTCTGAGAAGGCAGTGAAACATTGACTCTCTCCATTTTGAGGGTTTATTACTTAGTTGTGCTTAGGAAAAATATTGTAGCTCAGTAGTAATGCATATGCTTTGCCTGTTGGAGCATGCAAGAAATCAGTGTGTGTGTCAACTGTAAAATAAGATGCACAAAGCTATTTAGTTAAGATATGCCCAGGGAGCCGGCTGAGCCTGGGACTTTTGGCTACTGTTACATTTATCAGGCTTGAGCTGCACGGGTGCTTGCAGAGAAGCAGAAAGAGAGGCAGACAGAGAGACAGTTTGGTGTGTGCTCTTGCGCGCTGAAGGATTTTATCCACATGGACAAGGAAAGACAATTTTCAGTCTCTCATAAGAGGACATTATGTGAGTTAATGTGACTGACCACATGATTTTAAATATGTTGTTCTGAATTACGAAGAGTAAAGTGCTTGTCCTTTATTGCTCATTCGTGTGACATATTTTCTTTCTCTGACAAGGCAGTGTGTGGGCTGATCAAACATGAACTACACATGATCTTCATTTCGTCACATCACCTTCCGAAGGTCCCCTTTTATTCCCAGCTACTATTTTTCATTCTTGGAAATGATGACATTTTTTCAGCATAGCTTCAACGTCTTTTGAAGCAAGGGAGCATAGGAGAATTTCAAACTCCAACCAGCAATTGTTAAGTCAGGAATAGGATGAATCTGTAAAATTATCTCTATATGTTCTCTCGTTTAATAATTGTTGTTATCTTTTTGTTTTAATTCTCAGGCCTAATGAAGTGTACCATCATCATGATTTCCTTAGAAGAAAACATATAATGGCTTGAAGAAGCATTTTAAAAAGTAATAATGTATCCGGTTCCTGGTACCGTGAACGGAGTAGAAGGAGACAATGGACACCCTAGGAAACTTATCTCTTTCCTTTTTGTTTTTGGCATTACATTGTTATGTGCTGGATTTCTGCTTTCAATGTTTGTCTTGCAGACATGCCCAAGTGGGGGCTTTGGCGACTGTAAAGGAGCCCTTAAAATCATTGGGCCCTTACTTGCCGTGGTTGGACTAGTTTGCATCATTCTGGCACAGTCAAGAGCCAAAGGCTACCTTCAAGAAGTACAGCTGCACAATGACCAGGTCTACGGTTTTGTTTTTTGCCGAGGAAACTGTCAGTTTGCTCAGTTTCTGGTCTTCGGCTTTTTATTTTTAACTAGTGGGATGCTTATTAGTGTCCTTGGCATTTGGATTCCTGGGTGCAGCCCAGGATGGCGTTACCAGCAACAGTTTAACCATAGCAATACATCCAGCGTTGAACTTCAAGACTGTGGATTTCATTCTGTCCAAACGATGGGCCCTCTGATTGTGCTTATTGGATTGTGTTTCTTTGTGATAGCCCACATTAAAAAGAAACAAAATGTAAATCTCGTTCAAGAATCTTCTGCCCATGAAGAGGAGCAACTCAATCCTGATTCATTTCATGTTACAGTAGGTAAGTGAAGGTCTACGGGCCAGTGGTTTTGCCAGTAGGCAGTTTGGCAAAAGTCTCTTGAAAGGGTTGCTGTATTTTGTCTCAGCTTTTGAGGGATGGGGGAAGAGGAGGAAAAGTGTAGAGTCAAAGATGTTGAAGAAGAAGAAGTGAGATGGCATACTGTATATCAGGTATGGACAAACTTGGGCCCTTCAGATATTTTGGACTTGAACTCCCACAATTCCTAACAGCCTCAGGCACCTTTGCTTAAGTGGCAGAGGGGGAAAAGGAAAGGGCCTGAGGCTAGTAGGAATTGTGGGAGTTGAAGTTCAAAACACCTGGAGGGTCCAAGTTTCCCCATACCTGCTGTATATAGTGTACAGTGTACTTTCCCCCTATATAAACATCTCTAAAATGGGATGTATTCTTAGAATCACAGGTGTGAAATCAAATATAAGAAGTTTTTTTTACCAACCCCAAAAGACAGGATTGACTTATCCATGAGTCAGTGTGAGTGGTTTACCGCAACTCTTATCAGAGATGAAACCACCCCCTTCTCTGAGTAGACTGGAGAAAGGTGAGAACCTTCCTGGGACCTTCAGCCCAGCTCCCCCGCCCACCTAGCAGATTGAAAATAGCAATGTTAGTAGATTAATAGGAACTGCATTAAGCGGGGAGGTATTTTAGAAACAGTGTTTCAGACAAAAGTTTATGAACTAAGAAAGATCTTAAGCAAGGAGATGGAGTGACAGCAAACTCCTGTGGCCTCCAAAAAATGCCGAATGATGAGAAAAAGCCTAAATATGCCTCTAACTGTTGTCTGTCTTGTCTTTGTATAATCAGCATTGAATGTTTGCCATATATATGTTCTGTGATCCACCCTGAGTTCCCTTCGGGATGAAAAGGGCAGAGTATAAGTACTGTAAACCAATCAGTAAATAATGGTTGGGGAAACAAGGACTGGAGATAAAGCTTCAGTGGAGACACCTTTCCCCCATGATAACTCTTTCAGGAGTGAATTTCCCTTCCTAGGGGTAGATTTCTTTCACTTCCTGTTGTCTCACCCCCATTCTGAACTATGAGTCGTTTGTAAGTCGGATGTTTGTAACTTGGAGACTGCCTGTATTGGCTACAAACATCATTAGCTGACTGATGTACTTCATTGGGGCACAGCTCTGGAAAAATGGTTTACAAAAAATAAAGGACAAAGAACCATTAATATCTTACCTGTGTAAGAAATGGAAGCTTTTCACAATTTCCTCACCAATAAGCTGTGTAAGAAATGAAATAAGTTGTTCATTGAATATTTCTCTTATGTGTAGATGTTGGTAGGACTGTTTTTAAAAGTTCACTGAAAGTTTAATCCACAGGGAATTAAGAGAAATAATATATAATTATATCTGTATCTTATCTTTTATTCATGAGGCATGCTGTATGTATTTCATTAATGTAACATGTTTTACACTTTAGAAATAGGAATGTCGTATATATTGTAATGAGGATCACCTGCAGAAGAACTTGATTTTAAAGCTCTGGGTTTTCTTTATAGGTGACACTGTCATGGTGTTTCCACCACCACCGCCACCTTACTTTGCTGACTATCCACTACAAACTGTAACTCCGGTTTTGGAGACAAATGATTTGATTTTAAGTGAAAATCCTCCACCATACAACAGTGCTTGTAGTAATTGGTAAGGCCACTTATATATTTTCTTTTTACGCATTTTGTACATGGGTTAATTTCTGCACTTAGCAGCCAAGGTCATCCTGAAATGAGCAGTCCAAGCCTGGAACTTTCAATGTCTGGTATTTTGCTTTGTTTTAAGATTTGAAAGCAGCTCTGGGGGTCAGGAATTCAATTTTTGCTATGATGCTGGACAGGTTAAATATTTCCTTTCATTTTGAATCATGTATTCAAAGCAACTATTAACTCTGAAGAGAGGGAAGAGAAAGACTGGCCCAATTTGGGTACCTGTTCCCTTTCCACTTCATGGTGAAAACACAGTGCTGCAAACTGATCCAGTCTTCTGCAACCCATCCCAGCTGTCAAATCTATCAGAAATAGATGCTATGTCTAGATGTGCTCTCACATTTTAAAAATGAATATAGTCTAGCTTTGCTCCATAGATGGATTGTACATCTAGAGAAGTATTGTTGTGTGCTTTTTGGAAGAATGTGTATGCAGTAAATAAATTCCAAAATACATCTTATGATAAATCTGCATTTTATGTTTATTACTAACTAGCTTGGGTACCCAGCATTGCCTGGGTTATTTGAAAAAGTCATTTTAATTGTACAAAATGCATAAGGTTGTGGGTGAACTACAACTCACATCAAGCCAGGTTAAACTGATAGAGTTAATCAGTACTTAAAGTTTGTGATGTTGGGCAAGTTTGCTCTAGATGCATCATTGGTGGGGTTCAGTGTGCTCTCTGGCTATAGGGTAAACTACAACCCTCACTATGGCAAGTCAGTCCCTTTAAACCCCTCCAGTAGGCTGTTAGTCTTGGGGGTTCTATGTGCCAACTTGGTCCAGGTCCATCATTGGTGGAGGTCACGATTTCTCTTGTTGTGGGTGAACTACAGCTCCCAGAAAGGAAGGTCAGTTCCCCCCAAACCCCTCAATTAATCAAATTTTGGCATATCAAGTATGTGTGCCAAGTTTGGTTCAGATCCATCGGTGTTTGGGTTCACAGTGCTCTCTGGATGTAGGTGAACTACAACTCCCCCACGTCATGGTGAATTTCCTCCAAAGACCTCCATTACGTTTTGTTGGTCATGGAGGTTCAGTGTGCCAGGTTAGTTCCGGGATATACACATAAAATGTAGGATGAAATTGTCCCTGCCCTGTATGAAAGTCTTCATACAGGGCAGGGTGTTTGGTGTTTGTGGAGGACATTGGCAGGGCTTTTCTACATGTTTACGGCACTCGTACGGCACTTCTACATGTTTATGGCACCTGCAATGTCATTGGAGGGAGGGCCATTAATGTCTCCTGAGGAGAGAGAGCTATAGCTGTTTGTGGAGGCAGGAATGTTTTGTTGGTCTGAGTAAGTGGACAGCCCGGCCACATACACACATACATATTTTCTTATGTGTATAGATTAATGTTGTTAAATCCCCTTACCTTGCATTTCTGAATCAATTGGAACAGAATTAACAAAACATCTGCATCCCAAAGCTCAATTGGATTCTCACCTATGATAAATTGGAAATCCTTTTGTTATGTTGTTTTAACAGGTACGCTATGCATCCTTATTGTATATCACTGCATGGAAGGAATGTATGTGGTTTTGATTTATTTCACTATACACTTGGTTAATTAGGTATGTCTGTATTCACCACAAAAGGTATGTCTATATTCACCACATCAGGCATGGGTAAACTTCGGCCCTGCGGGTGTTGCAAGTGTGGGCCCGGGCTGTGGCGCAGCTAGTTAGTAGCCAGCAGCATTAAATCAGTACTGACTGAGAGGTCATGAGTTCGAAGCTAGCTCGGGTTGGAGTGAGCTCCTGACCATTAATAGTCTAGCTTGCTGTTGACCTATGCAGCCCAAAAGACAGTTCCATCTGTCAAGTAGGAAATTTAGGTACCGCTTTATGCTGGGAGGCTAATTTAACTAATTTACAACACCATAAAAACCTTTCAGCAGCGTACATAAGGAGGAGGAATTACTCCATCAAGGACTCAATGTCACAAGTGGACAGTGAAGCTGCAACTTCCCCTGTGGCCAGAATTGGGCATACCCTCATGAAGCCAGAAAGCTGGAATGTTAAATTGACTCTTTGTCAGTCTATATGTGTTGTATGTCTAATTGGCATTGAATGTTTGCCATGTATATGTGCCTGATGTATTCATCCTCTTTTGGTGTGTATAACATTGCTCTATATTTCTTGCATTACATGTCAGTAACAGTGTTACCCACTTTCAATTCTACATGGAGTCAAGTGGGATTTCAATTTAAATAGCTCATTTAACAATCTAATATGTCCCCTTTTTGTTTTGCAGAGCACAGACTTGTAACGTATGTGACCTGGCTGGTTACAGGGCAAATGAGCTGTTGTGTGCCAAGTCGGGAATTGATTCATCCTTTGAGACTTTCTGCTCTCTATCTTTCCTCTGAGTCATCTCCACGATAGAAGGCAAATGAAGCTGCTGTAAATAATGAATGTGTCTTGTCTTCTCCCTGCAATACTGAGATTACCCATTGCTGTATGCTTATCACAAGCTCCAAGAAAAACCCAGAGCTGGAATGGAAATGAAGGTTGTTGTGTCAAATAAGTGAAGGAAAAAAACTACAGGAATTCAGGCTCAGAATAAACTGATGTGGAAGAGGCTTTGAGACTTCCTTAGCAGCCAGTAAAGAGAGCAACAAGCTCAGTCTGTGAGGTAGCAGAGGACGTTGCAGAGGAGACCCAGCCAAGCCAAGACTTCTGCCAGTTGCAAACCAAAGGCAAACTACTCTGGAAAATGTATTGTTGAAGGCTTTCATGGCTGGAATCACTGGTTTGTTGTGAGTTTTCCAGGTTGTAAGGCCATGTTCCAGAAGCATTCTCTCCTGATGTTTTGCCTGCATCTACGTCACAACCTTTGAGGATGCCTGCCATAGATACAGGCAAAACATCAGGAGAGAATGCTTCTGGAACATGGCCACACAGCCTGGAAAACTCACAACAAACCATACCCTGGGAAACCTCCAGAGAGGCATTTGTGATAGGCAAGACCAAAACATCTTAACAGAAAAAAAAAACTTTCAATAGGACCAGGAAACTCAAAAGTTACAGTATTTACTTATGTATAAGTCAACCTTGTATACAAGTCAAGGGCAGGTTTAGGGGCCAAAATTATGGATTTTGATATGAACTGTGGATGTCGAGGGTCATTCCATGGAGAGGGGAAAGCACCAGTCCTTTGAGCATTGTGGTGGACACTCCTTCTTTGGAGGCTTTTAAGCAGAGGCTGGATGGCCATCTGTCAGGGGTGCTTTGAAAGCAATTTTCCTGCTTCTTGGCAGGAGGTTGGACTGGATGGCCCATGAGGTCTCTCCAACTCTATGGTTGGGTTTTTGTAGGTTTTTTCGGGCTATATGGCCATGTTCTAGAGGCATTCTAGGACAAAATTCAGAGCTGCTGTCATCACCATGTGCCTATCTAGGCATTCAAATAGGCCAGAAGCAGTGCCATGGCAGAGAGAATAAAGGGAGTTAGTTGGAACTTCTTTTAGGTTCTCCCAAAACAGACTAAGCTCTCACCTTTCACCACTCTTCTCAGAGGAGGGGATGGTTCCTTTTTTGATAAATGTTAAGATTTTGTGCTTAGATTGAGCCATGGATAAATTGACACAATGTTTTTTTGACTAAAGTTTATAGACTTATACTTGAGCCTATGCCAGTAGCTGCTCTCTGGACCAAAAGCTAGGGGTACACACCAATCACTGGGAGAAGACATTCGTGTAGCTTTGTATACCTCTTCATTTCTTTCTCTTGGCTGTTGACAAGTTCAGAATTAAAGATACTAAAGCTTTGAGGTTTATTTTGTGTTTGGGGAGAACGTAATGACTCAAAGGTGTGCATTTATAAATGTCTGATAGAAATTGATTAAACATTGTGCTAGAAGAAAAGCTGTAGCATATGTGGTGTCTTTGGTGTTTAATTAATGTGGCATATAGCAAGTCTCAGCTTGCAGAAATAAGGACCATGCTGTAAGTTACAGAGGACATATACTTGCCAACCACATATTCATATCTGTACTCAAATGCTCATGTGCATCCATCTCCCTGATAAAGTTTGGCAAGACAAGTACAATGTGACATTATTATCTTTAGTTTTTTCTCCTCTTCAGTTCATTAGCTGGTGCTTGCAAAGAGTCGGAGTCACTGAATAAAGTATAACTTTTTTTTCCAGTTCCTACTTGAGAAATCCATCCTAATAGAGGGTTGGGCAGCATCCATGCTTTTCTTGCAATTTTTAGTCTGTGACAGTAATTCTGCCACTGGCAGTAAGATAATGTTGCACATGCTGCAGATTTGTAAATTAGAGATTGTAAGCAGAGAGGTGGAGATTTTTATGTTATATTATTGCTGTCTGTAACAAATTCAATGTTGGAAAACACTGTGTGTCTCCTAAATGCCTCAGTTCCTTTCCAAAGACATCTCGCTGATTGCTTCCAAAAGCAAGGGAAGAAGACAAGCTTTATTATACATAAATTCTTGAAAATTTTGCGTTTTCAGTGAAGCTATTCTATAAGGAAACTCCAAAGGATGGTACTTTATTCACACCACTGGCCTATCTTTCTGGGTTGTTATTGATACACATATCAATATTTCCTTTACTTATAAGGTATACTGGCAGGACTGAAGACCGACAGGTCAGCGGTTCGAATCCGGGGAGAGTGGGTTGAGCTCCCTTTGTCAGCTCCAGCTCCCCATGCAGGGATATGAGAGAAGCCTCCCACAGGATAATAAAACATCAAAATATATGGGTGTCCCCTGGGCAAACTCCTTGCAGATGGCCAATTCTTTCACACCAGAAGTGACTTGCTGTTTCTCAAGTTGCTCCTGACATGAAAAAATCCCTATGTAAGGAAACTTAGGTGTTTCCAAAGACTGTTTAACTCTGATTAGGCTTGCTCTCTTTTTCCCACTCTCTTCTTGAATCCCCAGATATGTTTTTCCCTCTAAAACATCTACTGTGATTTTTCAGAAAATGACCTGTGATATGGACATGAAAGTATAAAAACTTGTGCACTGTTACATATATCTCATATAATTTACCCAGCAAATATGAGGATTTTTTTCTTTTTGAAGGCAACAGCATATTTATTTCACTTGCAAATAAATCTGTTCTTCTAACTTGAGCTCTGAAATAAAGTATTTTGTTATCACCATTGGTCCTGGTTTGACTCACATTGTCTTAGCTATGTATTTTATCTGTACAAAAGTTTTGCAGCTTAAGTCCATTCTCCACAAGTGTATACTCGTAAGTTTGAATGCTCCACATATTTATGGTTATCTATTAGAACATGAGATTCAAATACTCTAAGCCAGTGGTTCTCAACCTGTGAGACCCCAGGTGTTTTGGCCTACAACTCCCAGAAATCCCAGCCAGTTTATCAGCTGTTTCTGGGAATTGGGAATTGAAGGCCAAAACATCTGGGGACCCACAGATTGAGAGCCATTGCTCTAAGCAGTGTTTCTCAAGCTGTGCTCCTTCAGGTGTTTTGGACCTGAAGGAAACCCTGGCCAACTTACCAGATGTTAGGAATTGTAGGAGCTAAAGTCCAAAACATCTGGAGGAGCACAGTTTGAAAAATCCTGAGTCTAAAGACCCCAGTACCCAGCTGAATTTGGAAGCTAAGCAGGGACAGTTCTGGTTAGTAGTTTACATGAGAGGCTGCCAACAAATAGTTTTAGGCTATACTTCAAAGGAATGATCTGGCAAAAGCATCTTGGAATATTTCTTGCCTAAGAAGATCCTATAAAAACATGGGGTCATCATAAATCAACAGGTTACTTGAAGGCACAAACACAAACTTTACAGAAAAGCAATGGTAAAGCGCTTTTGAACAAATCTTGCCAAGAAAACCCTGTAAGGTCTACATAAATTGGAAATTTATGTAGGCACACAAGAGCTACACAAGAAGGCACACAAGACCTACAACCCAATAGGAAATAAAAACATTGTGCTATCTGTGTTTCTTCAACGAAATGTTTGACTCATGCTCATAGGTTGAACAAGTTACTTTTGTGGAATACAATCTCCAGAAATTTCCAGCAGTATCGTTGTGTCTTTCTCTTCCTCTGAGGATGAGTTGGAAGAAGAGAGGGCTGAAGAGGAAGGGGTTGGGGAGTCTGGACAGGTGGTCAGGTCTCCGTTGGAGGAAGAGGAGGAGGAGGAGGAAAGCATTTTGGCTGTTCCAGACATGCAGCAATCAGACCACTCCCTATTCCCAGTTCTGCATCTTGCCTGTGTAAGTGGATTTGCTTTACTGAGGAAACTCCATAAGACTGTGTCAAGAGACTTTGGTTTATTTTTGTGGACTTGCTCCTGTTGCTTTAATTGTGCTGGAGTAAAGTTTAAAATTTACCTTAAATTTGGTTTCCAAGGCTATTCTTGAGCAAAATAGGACAATAGTCAACAGCCATACTGTTTGGAGAAGTCTGAAAGGTCAGACTTACCAAAATTACTTTTTCCGGCCTCTGATGTCACAATCTCATAATGTTAGAGCACGTGTTGCATCTCTCTTGTGCACATCTCCAAAAAAGAAAAGAAAAGTAAAAAAAAGAGAAGAGAAGGAAACAGGAGTGGGTAAATTTGTTTAATTTCCTCCTTTACATTCAGATTTTATAAAACATTGAAGTTATTTCCACCCTGAAAATGTGACAGATTGTTGCTGAAGTATTCAAAAATGGACTGAAACAAAATTCACTATTTTTGTTGAACTAATTCAATAGGTGCACCCATTTCCAACAAGGAAGAGGAACTCATGCAAAACCTGCCTGATATATATACCATATTTTAAAAATTAGGAACATCTCAGAAAAAAAACCTTATCCATCACTAGCATGGTTGGATATCTTGGGACCAAAAACTTGACTTTTAGAGTTAAGCTGCCCAAGCTGTGGGCCTAGAGAGAGAAATCTATCATTTCTAGTTTCTCTCTCAGTTATTAGGAACTGCTGTAATCATGGAACTCCTATGTTAAGTTCTTGTTTTAGGGTTATTATTATTGTGTTCATTATTATGTTTATTTCCTGCTTTTTTCTCCACAAGGAGAATCAAAGCAGTTTGCACTAAAAGCATTTCAATACAAATTAAAATATACAAATATTAAAAAATAAACATCAGTAGTACTGAAACAATTATGTTAAAATCCATAAAAACATATTCAATATAAAAACCATAGCAACCTCTGACTTGATTTTAAGGCTTCCATGCTTGGTCAACTGCTTCCAATTCTTTACTTTTGCTGTATCATCCAAGTATCAGAGCTCAATCAATGAGACAATTAAAAGTAGTTCTCCAATATTTGGACTGTTCTCTAAAAGGTGTGTGTGTAAAGGGGAAAATACAACTTGTATGAACGCATTCTGAAATATTGTGGCTGAGAAAGTCTTTTTGATTGGCTACTAACAAGTGTGTATGTGTGGTGTGTGTGTAAAGGGGAAAATACAACTTGTATGAACGCATTCTGAAATATTGTGGCTGAGAAAGTCTTTTTGATTGGCTACTAACAAGTGTGTGTGTGTGGTGTGTGTGTAAAGGGGAAAATACAACTTGTATGAACACATTCTGAAATATTGTGGCTAAGAAAGTCTTTTTGATTGGCTACTAACAAGTGTGTGTGTGTGGTGTGTGTGTAAAGGGGAAAATACAACTTGTTTATGGACACAGATTGAAATGCTGTTGGTGAGAAAGTCTTTTTGGCTAGCTACTAACAAGTATTTTGATGCCCATTCAGAACATTTAGGATGGTATTATGTAAGTAATAATCCCCTTGAAAATCAGTTTTAGCTGGTGGCTAAGAGCACTAAGTCAAAGCTGAAGAGAGTTAATGCGCTCACCATTCTGCTGTCGTAATGACCGATTTCACAGGAATTGTGGTTGCTGTAAATCATAGTCTGGGCAGAGCTTACATCAGCTGGACCCATTTATTTTTCACTTGGCTTCTCCTAGGAGCTTGACCTCTCTTGTGAAAACCTGTTATTTGCTCATCTGCAAACCAGGAATTAGCAGAGAAAGGTTTAAAGTAAAGAATGTTCCCGATACCTTGAACAGACAGGTTGCAAGATGTGAGCTGAATGCTAATGGATGGATGTGGCTTCGGTCCTGAACACACTTAATAATGAGCAAGCCCCACTGAATCTAGAGGGTCTAGCGATTCTCAGCCAAAAATGTGCTGCACTTCTTTATAGATTTAGCATCTTCGTTTTAGGTTTTGTTATGTCTTATGTGTGTAAGATTTTAAAACATTTTTAATATTAAAAATGACTTTCAAAAGCACCAGGTCATTTTAAAGTGTACTTCTGGCTCATTCTTTAATTCTGAGACACATTTTCAAAATGTTTGCTAATCTGGAGTGCTTGAAAAGTATACTGCTGTATTTTATGTATTCACATAATTTAGATATTCACCTTTCCTGAGTGCTGACATAGGTAGGAAACATCTTGAAGGTGTACGATGACGACGACAACAACAACAACAACAACTGAAATGCTTTACCATTCTGGAAACTGCCCTGAGTCCCCTTGGGGAGATAGAGTGGTATACAAATAAAGGTTTATTATTATTATTATTATAACAACAACAACAACAACAACAAAGAGCTTGTTTCAACTTGAAGGTGCATAACAACAACAACAACAACATCAACAACAACAGCAAAGTGCTTGTTTCAACTTGAAGGTGTATTACGATGACGACAACAACAACAAAGTGCTTGTTTCAGCTTGGAAGGTGTACAACCTATTTGTTGAACTGCATTATTAGTTGTGTAATAATATGTGGCCTGGATGCAGTGGCACAGTGAGTTAAACCACTAAGCTGCAGAACTTGATCAAAAGGTTGACAGTTTGAATCCGCAGATGGTGTGAGCTCCCATTGTTAGCCTCTGCTTCTGCCAACTTAGCAGTTCAAAAACATGAAAGTGTGAGTAGTAGATCAATAGATAATGAAGGTAACTGCATTCCATGTAGTCATGCCAGCCACATGACCTTGGTGGTGTCTATGGACAAGGCTGGATCTTTGGCTTAGAAATGGAGATGAACACCATCCCCCAGAGTTGGACACAACTAAATTTAATGTCAAGGGGAAACTTTTACCTTTAATATGTGGTCTGCATTCTGTTGTGAGCTTGTATTCTTTTTAAAGTACAATAATTCATTATTTAAGAACACTAGGTAAGCAAGCAAAAGCAAGTTGCTGCCGTTTAGCATCAAAAATAGTTCAGGGGAACAGAATATGGAGCAAAGATTGCGACTGGAAGGCTGGGAGTTTTTTTAAAATATAGTGAAAGAAGTTTGTGATGGAATGCAGAACTTAAAGCTGGGGTACAAATTCTACAGACAAATGTTTTCAAACGGTAGCACATCTTCCTTAATTTTTGGCATAGCTTCAAAATTTACATTTAGAAAGTAATTCAATTCATTATTTATTAGTGTTTTAAAAAGTAACCTGTTGCTGTTATTTATTAAGACATTAAAAGAAAGGTTAACTCAGTACATTGTTGTATCATTTGCCAATTTCCCATTACTTTCTGTCATACTTTTAAAGAGGAAAAACCATTATGATGGAGAAGAGAATGACAGAAAACTTGGAAACACCTTATCGAAATACACTTTGAAATGCTCTAAAGACTAATGTGTGAAAATACTAAGAATTGTTGCTCATTATACATGCAAACTAACTGCTCTTTTTGCATTGCTTTAAAATTTTAGTTTTCTCACTTACATTGTTAGTTTCTCACCCCACCATTCCAAATAGTAACTTCCAGGTAATATGTTCTTTGTAACATATTGCTCCCAAGGTCTATTTTGTTTGTGTCCTTCACATGGTTCCTCCCTACCTTTCCCATAAGGAGCAATATCTGGAGTATAAAGCTATCAATGATACCTGGTGTCCAGGGGTACATCTACACCAGGCATCCTCAAACTGCGGCCCTCCAGCTGTCTGGGCCTCCAACTCCCAGAAGCCCTAATGAGCTTGTTCAATTGTCAGGAATTCTGGGAGTTGGCGGCTGAAATAGCTGTAGGGCCACAGTTTGAGGATGCCTGATCTACACTAACACTTCAATCGGTGTGGAAGGTGATCAACTGTGTGGCGACTATATGCTTCACAGTGGATGATCTAAATTAGCAAAATTTAAGCAAAATCACTTAATGCAGTTTTACCTTGGGTTAAACTACCCTCAAACTGTGGGCCTGTTTTTTTTCTTGAGTGATAGTTGTGGTTCAAGGTGGTGGTGTCACTGTCCAGTTGTGGGGTTATAGAAATGATATCTTACACAAGAAGCATGAGGAATCTAGAAGATCTCCACATTTGCTGCCATAGCAGTGAGACAAGTGGGAGTCCTCACATTTGGTGGCAGTAGTGATACAGATGAGCATTCTTCACCTTTCTGGTGGAGCCCCTGGTGGCGCAGTGGGTTAAGCCCTTGTGTTGGCAGGACTGAAGACTGACAGGTTGCAGATTTGAATCTAGGGAGAGTGCGCATGAGCTCCTTCTGTCAGCTCCGGCTCCCCATACGGGGACATGAGAGAAGCCTCCTACAAGGATGGTAAAACATCAAAACATCCTGGCACCCCCTGGGCAATGTCCTTGCAGACAGCCAATTCTCTCACACCAGAAGCGACTTGCAGTTTCTCAAGTTGCTCCTGATACGACAAAAAACAAAACAAAAAAAATTCTGATTATCTGTGCTTTGGTTGCTCTCTCACCTCGTCTTCTGTATCTTGCAGTGTCTGAAGGTCATGGTTTCTTACTTGTCATCTATGCACATACACACTCTGTTAGATACAGGAGGACTATCTTCTGAATAAATATACATAGGATCAGCTTAATCTGTGGAAGTAGTGGGGAGGGATGAGACAAACCTGGAGTAATGCATATTATCACCTAACCGGGGAATCCTATAGGACAGCAAAGTCAGGAGTCTATAATTGCTCAACTGAAGTATGGACAAAGTTCTTGTTTACCTATTGTGAACTTTCAGCTTGACATGATCTTCCAAGCACATCCTTTTTTCGAGGAATTACAGAACTTCTCCTCCTTGAAATGGAACAGAACAGCAACACTGTAGAAGATTTCTCTGTCAGTGTGTTTTCCATCACTCCTTGCCAGCCAAACAGCTCTGAAATCCCAGTGTCTGATGAGGCCAAAGCTGGCACCACTTTCCTTTTCTCTGGCTTCTTTTTGGGGGCCGTCGGAGTTACGTTCACAGTGATGGGATGGGTGAAACATGAAGGTGTCCTCCGCTTTGCTTGGACACAATTGCTTGGGCCTGTTCTGCTCGTGGTAGGGGTCTCTTTTTTCCTGATTGCTGTGGTCCGATTCAAAGTGTTCATGTGCAAGTCTTGGAATCAAAGTGAAGAAATAGGGCCTGAGACCAACCAGATGGCAAGTGGACAGTCCTTTGTTTTTACTGGAATTAGCCGGCCGATAACTTTCCGTGGAGCTCGAGTAGTACGGTACATTCCTTCCTATGAAACTGAAGGAGGTGTCAGCATGAATTCTACTAATTTCCGCCAACTAGTCAGTCATTCTGCACCAATAATTCCTGTTCCCTGCCCTCATTATTACAATGTCAACCCCCCGGATAACACTGTTTTTTCTGTAGATGAGAACCGTTCTGCTTTTTTTACGGTGGACTCCAGGAGTGAAAGGTGAGTTAATACGCTATGTGTGCACTTCATTTCAATCACAAAACCTCTCATAACTGCTGGACAGATGTTTTAATGAAATATAGTCAAAGTCTTTGTGTGCAGAGAAAATTCCAATTACCAACTTTAAATAAAATCATTGCCTGAAGCATTGGCCATAACTGGTTCATAGATATTGCCGTTCCACTTAATTAATGAACTGGCACCCACTGCAAAATTTAATCTCCTATTAGGTATTGTTTTACTCATCTAAGTATAATTCTTTTTATTAGCTTTTTTAAACAAAAAATCTATGATACCTCTGACCGAGAGTTTATTTTCATTTTGTCATAGCAGTACAAAGAGAAGATTAATTGCATGTGATCCTAGTATAACCTTAGCTTTTCAGGTTTGTGCTATATAATGCAATATAGTACAGCCCCCATACCCAGAATATGTTCCCAGACTTCAGGTGGATACGTAAAACTATGGATAATAGCAGACTGTATTGAAAGGAAGGACTTCTGGCCCAAGAATACCAAGGAGCTGTGCTTCAAGACTTTCGAAAGTGCCTAGAAAGGAATATTTTGTTGGGTGTGAATAAATGAAACCATGAATACTGACACCATACATATACATGTACCAAAACAGTATGCAGGTGGGAGCTCCTGATAATGCATTTTTCCTGACTTTGATCAATCAAATCTCTTAGGCCCCTTCCACACAGCTGAATAAAATCCCACATGATCTGAGCTGGGATATATGGCAGTGGGGACTCAGATAACTCAGGTCAAAGCAGATATTTGTGGGATTCTCTGCCTTGGTATTCTGGGTTATATGGCTGTGTAAAAGGGCTCTTACAGAGAGAGAAACAACTCAAGAATTCAGCAGTAGCATTGTTTATTGTTTATTAATAAAATCCCACACTATCTGCTTTGAACTGGGATATATGGCAGTCTGGACTCAGATAACAAAGTTCAAAGTAGATATAGTGGGATTTTCTCCCTTGGTATTCTGGATTATATGGCTATGTGGAAACGACCTCAGTGTCTACACTGGACTTCACACTTGGAAACTGGAACCTAATTGCAGCTGAAGATGCAGCTAATCTGTCAATGATCACAAAAGCATCTGTCATTAAATGGACAAAATATTTGTTTATTGGTAAACATTTCTGAGCCTGAGGGCCCTTCCACACAGCCCTTTATCACAGGATATCAAGGCAGAAAATCCCACATTATCTGAGTGTGGATTCAGATAACCCAGTTCAAAGCAGATAGTGTGGGATTTTCTGTCTTGATATTCTGGGATAAAGAGCTGTGTGGAAGGGCCCATACAAAACCCTGTAAATCTCTGCTGATGATTGATCAGGTAATTAAATAGAAAATACACACTTGTTTCTCACTTGCAGCTTGGAAGAGGAGGTAAGCAAACAACCTCCACAAACTTCACATATGACCATGGGCCCTTCCACACAGCCCTATGTCCCAGAATATCAAGGCAGCAAATCCCACATTATCTGAGTGTGGACTCAGGAGCCTTACACACAGTCCTACATCCCAGAATATCAAGGCAGAAAATCCCACAATATCTGCTTTGAACTAGGTTATCTGAGTCCCCACTCAGATAATGTGGGATTTCCTACCTTGATATTCTGGGATGGAAGGGCCCTCAAATAACCCAGTTCAAAGTAGATATTGTGGGATTTTCTGCCTTGATATTCCAGGATATAGGGCTGTGTGGAAGGGCCCCATGACTCGTTGCATTGGTCTCTTACCTGTCTCCAGCAACCCACAACATGAATAGTAAAGGCTGTTCCATCTTGTTTTTCTATATTCCTTTAAAAAAATAGTGCTCTTAAACATTCACTCCCTCAACTTCCTGTTGACACTATTTATAAAATGTGTCTCTTTCCCCCACTTCACAACTTTCAGGTCAATAAGTAGTTGTGAAGAACCTCAACCGACACTTGATGATGATCCTTGCAGTGACTACTCACCTCCACCTTATGATAAAGTGTTCCCACCATCATCATGAAGAGCCCAAAAGCATCCCAATAACTCCATAAGAACTGAGCTTGCTTCTGTAACAAATCCAAACACATGTACTGACAAATCTGCACCTGATGAACAAGACCAGCAACAGTATTATTGTACCACCTGAAGCTGTGGATTGACTATCATTTCCTACTGAGAACAGGTAGTGTCCACCAGTGGCATCTGTAGGGCTTTGAATGTAAGCAGATCACACTGGATCAGAAGAGGTGACACTAGGGTGATTGTCTATAAAAACATTTGTGCAGTGTTTCAGCAGAAATTATTATTTTTATAAAAATAATATCCCTGCAGTTAGATATAGTCACAAAAATAAGTTTCATAAGCCTAATTTTATCTTACATGTACTGTATTAATTTATCTAAAAGGCTAAAACTCTGTGCTGATTTACTTCTTGAACCTTTAAATGTGCATGAACTTCACCTAGAACTGTTGTTATTATCCCATTACAATGACATTTCCAATCACATGGTTTTGCCTGCACATGCTACAAGGAAGTGGTGGTGTTTCAGCTGTTGCTGGGTTTTTTATAGTCAGAGATTTTGTCAATTTTTCTGGTATTTTAGCAACAATATGGTGGTATGGTCTGATGCAGGTGGAGGCCTATAGAGATGGCACCATGGGTGACACCAAGCCTAGTGACACCAGTGTGTCTGTTCACCAGGAACCTCAGTCAAATGCAAAGGAACTACATTCCTCTCAGTTATGCATTTTTTCTATGCTGCACCTGGCTTTTGTCTTTTTAAAGCGCCACCTTGCCTTCATTCCTGTCTTTTCACTATTTTTATACTGGCTGCTGCTGTCCTTTTCCCCCAGCTGGAACAACTTATTGGTGGCTCTTTTTAGATATATAGTTTCCTCAAGATCACATGTAGAGTAACAGTTTTCAGGGGATTGGTTAGCAGCAGTGTTTGGAAATTTTCCTCTTTTTTTTTGGAATATACGCCGCAGATGCTCCCAGTTACCATATTGGCTGGTGATTTCTGGGAGGTCCCTGTTGAAACCAATGAGCTGTGATCTGCAGGAAGAAGAATTGCTGAAAACTGGGCAGAAGCACCTTCCATGATCAGAGATATACTTCCACCTACAGAAAGCAGAAGCCAGATGCAAAGTAGACATTGTAATATAGCCATTATGACTTGCTGTTAAGAGAAATGTCAAGTGCGATTAACAAGATGCATAGGTCTATGGAACAAATGCATTATTTTATTATGTATAGATGGGAAGATGAAACAGTGTAATGCTTCTTTCCAGATTTGTCATGCAAAAGGAGTTCCCCTACAAGGAAAGGAAAAGAACTGCAAAGCAAAATCAGAATACAAATAAAATACAGTCATATTAGTATTGTAGTACACTTATTAGAACCACTAAAGATCACAGATTAATAATAATAATAATAACTGACACGATATGAGGATTATAAGATTGAATTGCAATGACTCTGGCACAAGCCAGTCAAGGTGGTCCCAGTGGCGATCAGCACACTGGGTGCAGTGTCTAAAGACCTTGGCCTGCACAAAATTATCATCTGCCAGCTGCAGAAAGCCACCTTACTGGGATCTGCACACATTATTCGCCGATACATTACACAGTCCTAGACACTTGGGAAGTGTCTGACGTGTGATCCAATACAACAGCCAGCAGAGTGATCTTGTCTGCTGTGGACTCATCTTGTTATGTTTCAAATAATAACAATAACAACTTTATTATATGCCGTCCTATCTCCCCTAGAGGACTCAGAGCGGTTTCCACATATGCAAAATAATATAAGAACATACAATATAAAACAAAACATAGGTATAAATTGTAGACACAACATATACATTAAAATCAATTTAAAACCAGTTTGGCTCTCTTCTTCATGCAGGGTAAGCTGCCAGGGGCTGGGCCAAGGCTAGTGCAAGGTGAAAGGAAAATGGGGCTGGCTGAATGCTACAGTGCAAGAATCGGTCTCAGCAACAGCCCTACTAGGGGACAATGGTCACTCAATTCCAGAGCCAAATAAAGGACTATAAAAAAGGTCTGGGCTGGAAGAAAAGGTGCCCTCAGGTGACAGGGAACAGGGAGTGGATGGAGTACGAGGCCAAGTCCTAAATGTTGGACCAAGAGCTTGAGACTTGAGGCTAGTCATTATTAAAGGTCTGATGAAACCACCAAGTCTTCAAGTTCTTACGGAAGGAGGTGAGGGATAGGGACAGCCTTATTTCCTTGGGAAGGGCATTCCAGAGGCAAGGGGCCACCAACGAGAAGGCCCTCTCCCTCGTCCTCACCAACTGGGCTTGAGACAGTGTTGGGAGTGAGAGGAGGACCTCCCCAGTGGATCTTGGTATCCGCGCCAGTTCATAGAGGGAGATGCGATTACAGAGATAGGTGGGGTCTGAACTGTTTAGGGCTTTATAGGTCATCACCTGCACCTTGAATTTGGCTCGGCAATTTATTGGCAGCCAGTGGAGCTGTTTCAATAGGGGCGTTGTATGCTCCCTATAGTTAGCTCTGGTTAGAAACCTGGCTGCTGCCCGTTGTAATAGTTGGAATTTCCGGGCCGTCTTCAAGGGCAGCCCCACATAGAGTGTGTTGCATTAGCCCTCACAAGACTGCCATTGCTTGAAGGACATCTGTAGCTTGGGAACAAAGTAAGTAAGGATTCTCTACCAGAGGAACTCTGCCACAAAGCCTTATTCCTGAGCATGAGTAGAAGAGGCACGTCTGCTATTTGCCTTGAGGATAAACTGAGGAGGTGTAATGTCAATTCAATGTGCACTCTTAAGAGCAGGAAGCACCATCCTATGTGGTGCAATGCATTACTTGTGCAAACATGTTTCTTGCAAGGCAAAGGGTTGAACTGGATGGTCCTTGGGGTTTCTTCCAACTCTATGATTCTATGTTCATCATTATCTTTTCCACTAGGTGAAACCACACCAGCCCCAGCAGATCTTAGTTCACAGGGATGTTGGAGTGAAAGAATAACAGTGGCTTCTCTCTCTTTCAAAACAGAAAAGCTGGTGGTTATTCAGGTCTTACTGAAGCATGGTTGGAAACTTTTGTGAGTCTGAGAGACCCTTGTGAGCTTGAGGGAAAACAGGGCAAACTGAAATGGAAAAAGTCTGAATCATGAATGGTATGGTAGGGAGGGAAAAATCTGGTTTATGTGCCTCTTACATTAATCTCTATCTCACAGTTACAAGTGATGTGCTCTGAATCTTCCTCTCCTGCTTCCTTTAGCTCAGTGGTTCTCAACTTGTGTGTCCCCAGATGTTTTGGCCTTCAATTCCCAGAAATCCTAACAGCTGGTAAACTGGCTGGGATTTCTGGAGTTGTAGGCCAAAACACCTGGGGACCCACAGGTTGAGAAGCATTGCTTTAGCTTATGCATCTCTCATGAAATGTGTGTGATATTCAGAGCTTCCTCTCCTTTGGCTCTGGAATCAAATGCATTACTGGCAGGGGACACCAGGGGGCAGCAAAGCAAGGGATGCTGTGCAACATCCACTGCAAGAGCCCAGAGTTGGCCACTGCAGAGGTGAAATGTGATGCTTTGGAGACCACAGGTGCAACATTTTCTACGGTATCTCTCACATCTAATACGTGCTTTGCCAATTGGGAAATATTGATAGCCCAGTTTATCCTGTTCCTCCAACATTTATAATGGAGTTGTCCATAAATTATTGTTATTACTTATTTGATTTATATCTCCTCACAAGAGCATAAACATTTGTATAAATCCAGCACAGCTACAAGGTACAAACTGCAGATACCTAAAACACAGCTCTAACATAACAAATATATTTGAAATTACAAATAACTACAATCACACATGAAGACTAAATATCCTAAAGACAAATCCTACCTGATCTTGAAAGTGAAGCAGGTTCAGCTGTGGTTAGTACTTGAATAGGTAACCATCAATGAATGCCAAGTGCTGTTGGCTATATTTCATAGGAAGAAATTGGCAAAATCACTCTTACTATTCCTTGCCTAAGAACTTCATGGGTTCGCCATTAACTCAACAAACAACTTGAAGGCACATACATGTATGTAGAGAGAACAACATAGTACTATTTATTTATGTCAGTGTCCTTCTTGGTCAGTGTGTGCATGCTTTCAAGTCCCCTAGTGACATGTCAACATGCACAGGATTTTGAAAGCAAGAAATACTGAAGAGCTTTGCCATTGCCTCCTAAATGACATCCTGGATGTTCTGACACCTCTACACAACTGAATTGTTTGTGTGTATGGCGACCTCACACATTTCATTAGGTGTCCTTAGGCAAGGGATATTCATAAGTGGTTTTGTCCATTTCTTTCCTAGCCGACATCACCGGATGTGCATTGGTGGTCTAATAAAATTGAAACTGTGAAATTTGCTACCACAAGATGTAGTGATAACCACCACCTTGGGTGGCTTTAAAAGAGAACTCAATAGGTTTGTGGAGGGTAAAGACATCAATAGCTATTAGTCATGCCATATATTGCCTGAAGAATTTGAGACAGTTTTACTTCTCAGTACAAAGTAGGAGTGTATGAGCCAGAGGACCCTCTTGTCTTTTGCTTATGAGCTTCCAATAGTCAGCAAGCTGGCTACTATAGAGAGAGGTAGGTATTTGAGCAAGTCCAGCATGGAGCTTTTCAAATCGCATAGCAGGATTACTGCAATATAGTTCCTGCATCCACTTTTACCTCCAGAACTCAGCCTAGAAACATAGAAATCAAAAATAAAATATCCATGTGCAGATATCAAATATATTTCCTTTAACATTGAATTACTGAACACCAATGTGGTATGGTAGTTTGAGTATTGCACTATGGCTCTGGAGGCCAGGGGTGCCATTCCCATTCGTCCATGGAAGCCCATTGGGTGACTTTGGGCTAGTCACCCCCTTTCAGCCTTGGAGGAAGGGAAAGGGAAAACTCCTCTGAAGAAATCCTGCCAAGAATATCCCATTGCCTAAGACAATGATTCTCAATGTGTGGGTCCTCAGGTGTTTTGGCCAACAACTCCCAGAAATCCCAGCCAGCTGTTAGGATTTCTGGGAGTT